CCTACTACATAGAACAGCAGGACCCTCTTGCCATACTCCTAACATTTTCATCTTTATGCAGCTACAGCCTTAATGAATGGTCCTGCAAATTCTTGATACCTTCCAGTACCTTTGCTCATTGAAGTACAAATCTTCAGCAGTTAAGCTGCCTTCTCAACACATTCTACCAAGCTTTCCTTATACTCAGGGCTGGATGCTTCTTCCTTCTGGCACTATTGCAATGGTGTTAAATTCCACAGCTGGAAAGTGTCATCTGCTACAGGGTGGATAGCAACACTAGAAATGATTGAGAATACCAAGACTACCTGAAGGTTCTCAGAAAGTCTGAGACAAGTGGATAATATTTCAAAGAAGAGGATAATAATTTCAAAGAAGAAATTCTTTGTCTCATGACAGATAGTGTGTATTTTTCTTCTCAAATAACAGTACCACATTTTCCTAAAGATGTGCCTCTTTCTTGAATTAGAAACGGAACAGGCACAATGACCAAACCCATGGCCAGCATGAAGGACTGGCTGTCCCTGCAGTAAGCTGAGATCTTAGCTTCACTACATTTTCTGATCATCAGAAGTGCAATCAGGCAAAATAAAACTGTGATAAGACAATACGAGAAGCTGATAATAGGTCTGCTGATTAAATATACACAGTATTCTATATGGAAATCCAGCTCTGCACTGCAAAACTGCTGTGCTTTTTAATGTCTAACTAACATGCTGTTGGAGAAGGCAATCTTATTTTCTTTGAGTATGGAGGTAGGGGGGCATGTCTTACACAGGTGCCAAAGCTTGACAGTCTTGTTACTTTGCTTTGACAGTTTCCATACAGATTCACAGAAATAAAATTACAATGCCAGAGATCAAACGTAATGTCTCCTATCACTTTGAATGACTGACGACTCTCTAGTTTCCCTGACCAATGTTGCTTGCCTCCATCACGATACAAAGATGCACTTGAGAGGAATTAGAGGAAATAATTGGAAATGAACTCTTAGCTGTGTGCTGTGACATGCAGTACAGTGGCTCAGATGAATCCTCCTCTCTGTCACCCAGCCCAGCTCTGCTGACTTCAGCACAAGGTGAACTTCAGCCAGGACCAGGGATTGAGAGTGCATCCTGGGAAAGCACTGATGAGAGCTGGCAGGAGACAACTGGGGAAAGCATCAGCTGCAGAAAATAAACTACTTTGCTCTTTGAAGTTGCCTTGTACCTTGCCTTGGTGTTTTACTGCATACTATGTCTGAGTTTCAGCAGCACCCCTTCATGGCTGGCATAATGGCAAGATATGTCTGAAACTGCCTGAAGGGTCAGGAAGAAGGGGATATAAAGCCATGCAGGCTTACACTTCAAAAGATGACCAGGAACTTTTAGTGTCTGGCCTCACAATCTTCAGATACATATACTGTGCAGAAAGAGCATTTCCATTGTAAACTGATCCAGAATGCTCAAAATATCAAAGCCTCTGTCATTTTGAGTTATCTGTAAGGTTTTCATCCATAACATATTTATGGTAGCAGGATGAGAAGGAGGATGAGGGGAAGGGGTGTATCCTGGATCTGCTTGATTTATTTTTTGTTTGTTTGTTTGTTTGTTTTTGAGCAGATGCACAGTGAAGTAAATGAATCTTTCCAGAAATTTCTGAACTCAACGAGGTTCTTTGGTGGTATAATATTTCATAACACCAATGAAAAAACAAAGGTCTATATCTCTGATAAAACACAACAGCAAAATACTAGCATTCTTTTCACTGCAAGACAAATTCTTTCAGCCTACTGCTGATCTTTTTGTGGTCCTAAAGGTTTTGTTGAAATTAGAAGTTGTTCACCAAGATAATTTCTCAACCTCTTGTACAGCAGTATTGCAGAAAAGCCAAATGGTGTATATGTACATCTTCTTCCTTGTTACCAGTCAGCAGCATTGATGGTGGAAAAATAAAGACAACCAGCTGCAGTTTATGCTACTCCTACACACATACACTTTTTTTTTTGAGCAAAAGCTGCAAGAATGGCTCAGTAATAAAGTACATGGTGTTCTGAACCTGCACTCTAAAAAGACCTGCGGGCATAACAGGATGTGTTTTAAATGCAACAATGAAGAAGCAGCATTTTACTGTTTAGAAAAAAAGCAAGAAACATAAAAAACCTCTCCAAGATCTCTCATAAACTTTGTCTTGTCCAGCAATAGGTCCAGTTCGGCCAGTTCTGAACATGTTACATGGAGTGGCTCTTTTGTATGACCACGTTCTTCCCTTCTTGTGAGGGGGAATGTTGCAAGTGTAACATTTGTTTACTGATCCATATCCTGTCTTCACTGGTCATGAATGTCATTACCTATTAGATGTAAGAATTTTCTATGCTTTATTAAAAGCTACACAAATTACCATTGACTTGAACCGGGCAATCAAGAGCATAGCCAGGACCTAAGTGTACCTTGTTGTTTCTTTGTTTGTTAAAGTTGAGAGGAACTTTACGATGGCCTAGATCTCCCCTTGGAGTAAGTAGGATATTGAAAATAACAGAGATTGAGGAATTCTCTTTCCTGTTTCTGTGAACTGAAAATCTACTTTCTCTTGACTTTATCTAAAGAATATTGCAACTAAGTCTGCGTATTTTCAGAGTTGATCTAAAATTGATAGTTTTCTTATATGAAAATAGCATTGCCTGTTTGACATTTTAGCAATAGAAAGGAAAATAATTTTGGATTTGTCTCTCTTGACAAATGCAAGCTTAGAAGAGTTTAAATCCAGCTGCTCCATATAGCCTTTGCCTCAAACATCAGGATCATCCCTTTCACAAATTGTTATCATGTTATTAAAGAAAATTTCAGCTCTTTGTCATCTGCTATCCATGCAGGTAAGGATACTCTCATGGACTTTATTGACCTTCCTGTGCTAGCACTTTGCTGATTCTGCTCACACTGCATTAGTGGCAGCACTGAGTCAGCCTCCCTCTTACAAAATTCTGTCATTAAACTTCCTCCCTCAGCAGGGGGTCTTTATTAAAAAAAGGAGACCTCTATTTTAAAACCAAGGAGGAAACAATGCTAAGTCAGATTTTGTTCTGCGTGATGTTACACTCCCATGCATTGGAAATACTGTGTTATTAAAACAAATTGCATTCCACAGTCATTTTTTCCCCCTCTTCCTTAAGTATGACCTTAACTTAAGCCAGAGAAAGTTACAGGCTGATTAAACTCTCAGAGATTTCCCAGCAGCCTTGGAGGTCCTTCTTGCGATACAGAACTGCCACGAAGTGATACTACATTGAGCAGGCACTGATAGAAACCAGGGCAAAACATCTGGGAATGCCTGTGCAAGTTCATGCTCCAGCTGCAATCAGAATGATTTAAATATCTGATTTAACCATAACATGAATGTTCCATTTTGACTTCTTTGCATTATCAATTTGAAGCTTACTTTTATTGCTTGTATTGTAAATTGTTTCCCTAAGGAAAGGTAGATTCTTATTGACTGGTATCCCCAGGGCCATATTAATTTGCTGCTTTATATAGATTTAACTTTCAATTTGGTCATTCTTTTTGATAGCCAAGAGTGTGAAATTTTGTGCTATGTTGTCCATTCTAAACTGTTAACCACATGTAGTCAGATTCATATTTGTTATTAGCAGATCTGTTTTGTTTTGGTATTTTTTAAATCTCATCTTATTTCAGCCCCTTTGGGATTTTATCAGCACTTAAATAAAACCTGGATTTTGAGAAAATTAATTTTTTTCTTAACAACTAAAAGAAAAAAAGTTAATAGTATAAGAAAAATCAAAATATGGGTTTGTTTACATTTTCGTCATAAATAAAAAGAATTTTGCAGATGCTGGTTTTAGCTGATTATTCACCATGGCCTTTAAGATCTTAAAGCTAGCTGGTGTGAGGTTCTCACACCAGTTTTTGCTCATAGACCAGAAGAAGAAATACACTTGCTGCATTTTTATCTTTAAATGTTTCTCTAAACAAAGGGTTAGTTATTGGGCTAAAATTAGCTAACTGTAATTAAAAACAAAACAAAACAACAAAAAACAACTCTACTTTTATAGCAGATGTATGAAATATGCTTCATCAGTCTGATTGAACCTGTTTAACAGCCTTGTTTGCTATTTTAATTTAATTTAAAGTGTGAAAGATTAAAATAAATTTAGGCAGTAATATGGGCTACTTATATTCAAGTTTGCATCTTTATTTTAAAATGTCCAATCTATGATAAAAAGTTTTTGGAGAGGCCTCTAGTTTTCAGCATGGTCGTTTTTGTCTTCAGACAAAAGCTGCTTAATGTTCAGCAATATCAGCCACCCTGAAGATGAATGTCTTGGCCCTGCAGGAATTCACTTGCCTATTCTCTGCCTTTCCATTCTCAGTATCTTGCTGACAAATTCTTTTGCTGCTGTTAAAAACACATGGCTGCACGTGATCACAGTGGGAATGACACAGAAACAGGAGTATTTCCATCATGGCTTTGCCAGCAAAACAGTGTTTTTCCACGTGCCACCCAACCACACCAGGTTACCAGGTGAGGGCTACGCTTCTCAAATACTTGCCCTCCTCATGCAGACCAGCCGCTTGAACAGAGCTGTCCAGCAGATGAAAGGAGGTGGGGTAGCAGTAATTGCAGAGGGGCCTGAGGAGAACATGCAAGGGAAGACGGAGTGGGGGATTGACTGACAGTGAGGGAGGACAGATCATTGGTTTGACTCCATCTTCTGTAAACTGCCAGGATTATTTAACAAAACCTTGCAAGAGATTCACCTTTACTCAAAATCCTCCTAATCTGAACCATTGCACTGGACTTCCAAATAATTAGAAAGAGGTCCTGTGGTAGCCAAGTGAGTTCAGTTTACACTAATGGGGTCTACTGTGCAAACTGCTCCCACCATGACAACCTCCTTGCAGCTGAAGATATGGCACACTCTCCTGAGCAGAGGCTGCCGCCGAGCATTACATTTGAGCACAGTGCAGATCCCTTTGCCTCCCAGAAGGACGCAGTGAGAGGAGACTTACCCCTGCACCCTCTTTGGCTTCAGAACTTTCACAGGAGCATGATGCCAGTGGGTCCCCCAGATGCATAGCCAATCCTCCTGCACCTACAAAACCAAAGACATTTATTGCCCATGGGAGAATATGCATGGCTGAGAGGTTGCTTTGCTTTGGATCCATTTCTACCCGCCATGATCTGTCACCAGCCTGGTATCTTGTTAGTGTTGTTAAAGAAAGCGGAAAGGGTACAGAAATGATGACTGAGAAATATCTTTGCCACCTGGAGACAGCTCTGCAGAGAGGCAGCCACCTCTGGGAGAAAACGCAATGGGTGCTCAGTGTGTTGACAGTGTGACATGTTCCATTTCAAACTGCCCAGTGGCCATCCCTGTCCCTAGGGTGGTACTCAGTGCCACCCTGGTCCCTGGTGGGGGGTGGGATGGCCCTTTCTGCCAGGTCCAGCCTTGTCATCCCCAGAGAGCTCCAGACACCGGTTGCTCTGTCCTCACCAGTGTTGCTGTGCTGAAGGTGCTCACACCATCCCCTGGATGAGCTTGTCCTATCTTGGGGAGTAGCCAGAGGACCTTTCATCACTTCTGTGTATCCAAAGGGCAGAGTAACTAAGAGCACCTAGGACCCTAACTAATTGCATCTCATTAATGAATGCTGTTTGTCATCCAGGCAGTGGATGACACTGCTTATCAGGTGATATCAGGTCACAAGCACAGCTTGCAGGGCAGCCTGTCAGTCCTGTCTGGAAGAACCTCTGTACTTTTATTTCTACATCAAGTTTAAGCCTTGAATAAGATAAGAACATATTACTGGTTTCACCTTCAGGGACAATCTTGCTTAAGCATAGCTAGCTACAGACAGCTGCTTGATTGCTTTTGGGATTTCCACAGCAATGGCAATAATTGCAATACATAATGGTGGATTAGAGTCAGATTAAATCAGTGAATACTTTCTAAACTGCAAAATTAAATTATAAGGGTTACATGACCTCCTCTATAGAGAAACAGGATGTATAAGGACTTGTGTATCATCTCCAGTAGCTCTGTTGAATGTACACATTCACACTGAGAATACATTGAATAATTTTCCCTGTGCTACCACGACATTGTGCACACCTACTAAATTTGAAATAGGTCTCATAATAATACAGCCTGAAATGGCTCTCCAGCCCTTGGTCAATACAAGGATAGTTATTCATGCCCTCTGCTGCTACTTCACTCTATAATCTTGAGTGTGTCTCTTCAACCCACTACTGTTTATGTATGTGCCACAGTTGTGTTATGATTACTTATGCAAAAGGATCTGTAAATCAGGGATGCCCTTTGCTTATTTGTTGCTCCAGCAGAAAGTGGCACATGCTAACAGTGCTAGCTTGAGCTGTAGTCTACCTATGGATATCAGAGACACTACAGACCTGTATCTTGCTCTCTAACAATTTTGGCTGGTGGCAGCCTCAGATAGACATCTTTTACTGTGGAAGAAGAATATTAAAAAGTGCCAGTGAAACTTATATGCCAAAATCCTTTACATGCTTTTAACTTTTTCTTGCACAGGTTCTTTGGAGCTGATCCCTCCTCTTCCCACATGTCAAGCTATAGTGTCCATGTAGTCCACAGAGCCAATAGGTAGCCCTCACCAAGGTTTGAGAACTGCATTAAAATCAGTGTGAGTAGTAATGAAATTAGGACTTTTTTCCTTGTGGTCTCCATACCCTGGAGAAGTCCACAAAATCAGAACTCTAATCCTATAACTTTAACAGAGAACTGATCCCTTCTTTATGTTCATCTCTGCTGGGGTTCCCACAGAGCATTGCTGCTTGTCCTGATTTCTTTTTTCTGGTGTTTTTTTCTTTCCAGCTCTCTTTGATAGCTTTATTCATGCTAATCTCAGGCCAAAAGGATCCCCCTTGTTATATATCTATAGGACATTTTAACATAGTGGGCCTCCAACTGTCTACTTATACCTATATGCTCTCCTGCTATCCAAATATAGATATAAAATAGACCTGTGTGCCATTTTTTTGCCATTTCACTAGAACTTCTCTTCATACCCAGGCTACACTGCATCTTTTTCTGCAGTGTATTTGGAATTGTGAAGCCTTCAGCATGTAGTCCTTGAACGGACACCTCATTACCTGGTAGCTGTAGGAGTGGATCAGAGGATGTGACCAGTTGTCACTGAAGTCTCTAAATCTATATTATAAATATTTCCAGGACTTAATGCCCACTAGGTTTAGTCTGATTCTTTAGAGTGAATGTTCCCACAGAGTCAGAAGGAGTAATACTTGATTAAAATATTTGTGTTTACACTAGATTTGAAAAGTATTGAATGTGACCTTGCAGCAGAGTTTATGGTTTGGTTTCCTCCCAAAGCACTCATGTGCAAGTCAGCAGTCTCATCATGTAGTGGGAATCACTCCACATCTGAACCAACTGCAAGTGTGGTTGAGGAGAGAGGGATCAGTTCACTAAAAACCATACTACTGTTCTCTGATGAAGTGCTGATATATGTGCAGCCTATGCCCATCAAGAAACAGCAGTCTGGTGACTAGGATGCTAAATGGAGGTGTGGCTTGCCTAATTTCACACTTGTGCCACAACTAGCATTCTGCATAACCCTTGGAAGGCATTGGCATTGTCTTAAGTTGTCCACTTGTAAGCGATACTCCCCATTGATGTGGCAACACATGAAAGATTAAGAAGAAATCATTACAGTGGTAATAAGTGGACTTAAATAGAAAAAAAAGGTCATGGAAGTCTGAGGCCTAGAAACTAACACACAAAAGAAAATGATATATTAACCACAAATCTCACAAAATAAATAAATACCATAAGCCTGAATAGACTTCATCTCCATAATGCATTTGTTGAAAGGCTGTATCTCCTACAGCGTGGACCTTGGACTTGATTTACATGAAGGACATGGCAATTTTATAATCACCCTTAGATTAAAAAAAATAAATATTTGAGCATGTTTATATCCATGGACATGTTTTAAAGGCCCAAATAATACCAGTTCCTGCTGCCATTAGCACAGCTAAAGTTTTACATCTAATTGTCTGTACAGCAGTGATGAAGTAACTCAACCGGAACAGCTGCAGGGCAGCTCCATCAGCACTATTGGGGCCCACTGGCTTTTCATCCATCTCTGTGCATGCTAGCTTCACTTCTGTGTATCACTGTGCTGACTTGTTTGTTTCCTTTTATTTGCTGTTGATTTCAACTGTGAATAGGGTTTGATGGATGACAGGAGTTTTGCAATAAAGAGGACCAAATAATACAACAGGAATGAAGCTGAGCTAATAGCCTCTTTCCTTAAGAGATGTATTCACACAGACTTGGGAGAGAAATCAAGCTGCAGACAATTAGAAGGAATCTGGGCTCTCACCAGCATCAGCCAGGTGAGAGAGGAACAGGTGTTATCAAGATAGGAAGGATGAAATTTGAGTAAGAGTCAGCTGTCCAGTTACTGGTGATGTATTTGGCAGTCAGTGTGTAGAATATGGCTGAAAAATAGAGGTACTGATGAGGTATCTGGAAAACTGCTGTGCACACCCACTCGTTGCTCTTATCAAACAAGGGAGACTTCAGCAATTTGTTCCTGAATCACAGATCTTCATGATCAGCACTGTAACCATGGGGAAGCACCTCTGGTTTGGTTAGCAGTGGGGGCAGTACACTCATCTCAAGGGTCCTTGTTCCATCAATCTCTGCCAAATCCTTTGGGTTTCTGCTCTACTTTCATAGAAGCTACACAGAGAAAGTAAACTTTAAAGTGCAATTCAGCTACTGAAGTATGTCAACTTTCTGCAGTACCCAAAACCCTCTTAGAAAATCCTCCATAAATGCAAAACTTAGCCAGAAACTACAGACATAGGGTCTTAGTTTTGATATTTGTTTTAGCAACAGAGTGCTCTGTGTTTTCAGCATACAGACTCCATTGCTGTGTTGTTAAGCTGGTGGGAAACAACTCCAAGGCTTTTCCACACAGCCATTAACACTGTATCCATCTGAAACCTGGCAGCCTACACCCTCTTGCCAAAGAAACTGGTGCATTAAAGGGCCAAGTCGTAGCATAAGAGGAATTGAATCAGGGAGTAACTGTAGTACAAAGATTTGTTTCCTTAGAGGAAAAGGCAGATAAAGCACTTAAGGGTATTCACCAGGAAAATTAAATCAATCCTTCTTCATTTCTCACAAGATAGTAATTTTTATCTGGCCTGTTTGCTTTCATGCAGATGGAACAGTTTAAGACTTATTATTCTCTTTCACTGAGACAGGTTTCTTGTGGGAGCAATTCTAGTCCTTTTCACTGCCAAAAGGACACATTACTGCTACCAGTTTGGCCCTCTCTCCCTGTTGCAGCGTGCTTGCATCCCGGGTCTACTGGCTAGTCTGCTGCTCACCAGAGTGACTCCTGCCCTGTTCAGACGGGAAGGAAACAGGTCAGCTCCAACCACATAAATCCTGGATCATCACTAAACTGGCCCACTTGGTCTTGAATAGGCCAAGGCAGCAATTATTAGAGCAACTATTTTCACTTGCCTTGAATTACAGGAATCCTTGCTGTTTCTCAGTCTGCTTTCTTTCACCTACATAAGACTTGTCATTAAAAATGAAAGGCAAACTACGTCCTCCTGTTGATATCTTGGCAGTGCCCAACTGAGCCAGCAGACAGATGCCATATTACACTACAAAGTAGAGTTTGTCACCAATTATTCTTGTCATTTAGACAAATAAAATCCTCAAAGAAGGAGAGGGAGAGAAAAAAAAGAGATACAGTCTACGAAAAAAAGACCTTTCAGCAAGAGTGCTAACGTTTATTTATTGAACCACTAAATGGATTGGTGGTTTCATGGTGTTCAGATTGGGAGAGGTCACATATCAGCAGGAAGAAAAAGGCATAACTTAAGAGGTGAAGAAAACCGCTCATATCTGGGTTTTGCACTTACTTTTCTTTAATTAATACTACGCTTAGGCATTGTATCCTTGCTGGATTTTTAAATGATAGCAAGGAAACTTTCTTACCCTTTAAAAAATGTTTTGAAGGCTCGCCTCTAAGAGTTAAGAAAATATTTTAGTCTCAGTTGCCATAG